ACTACATTTGTGGAAACCTTTTCTTCTCAGATTCCACACTATACCTTCATGAGCTCCTGGAAGGCAGTGAAATCTATCTCCCAGAAGTTGTGAAGCCTCCCCGGGTATGTAAAGGATATATTTTTGAGAGTGGGTATTGGCTGAGTAGGGCATCAAATTTTTTAATCAGTTTTGGGGCTTGAAATTTTGTCTTTTAAATATTTGACATCTGAGATGAGTAAACCAGGTATTGCCTTCTCTATTTGACAGCTTTAGAAAGCTGAGATCCAAAAACCCAGTTTCCAAAACAGTGGAGATAGAATGACAAAAGCTATGTTGAAAGATCTAACCAAGAATAGCATGTGAGTTTTAATCCTAGTTCTGTCACTGATTTCCCTCAAAGAAGTCACTCCTCCTTCCTGGGCCTCAATTCCCTTATCTATAAAGAAAGGAAATAGAGGCTGGAGCTGGGGCTCAGTAGTAGAGCACTTGCCTAGCATGTGTGAGGCACTGGGTTTGATCCTCAGCACAATATAAAAATAAGTTGAAGGTTATTGTGTTCACCTACAACTAAAACAAATATTTTTTAAAAGGAGGTGGAATAGACAAACTGGGTATTTTCCAGAATTAACATAGCCTAGCCAGAAGTATAAAATGTCGACTGCTCAACTATTAGGGGGAGGCAGCTCTTTAGAACTAAAAAGAATCTTAGAAGGGCTGGGTTGTGGCTCTGTAGTAGAGCGCTTGCCTAGCATATGTGAGGCATTTGGTTTGATTCTCAGCACTGCATGTAAATAAATAAATAAAATAAGGGTTCATCAACATCTAAAAAAATAAAAATAAAAAATAAAGAATCTTAGAGAGTATCAGGTACAGTGGACCTGTGAGTATTTAGCATCACTGGGACCTAAATCTATTTAGGACAGAGCTGTTGTGGCCACAGAAATGACCTAACCCAAAGGCAAATGTTAGATCTTGTTTTTTATGTTGGGCAGGTCCTCTGGCACTCTTAGTAATTCAGTGCCCCCTTGGAACCAGTGATTACAACATGCTTCCTAGCAAGACACATGTAAAAGAACATCAGTCTTTTCACATACTTTTTTCTGCTTTAGAACCCAGAGCTAGTTGCCCGGCTTGAGAAGATTAAGATACAACTGGCCAATGAGGAATATAAGCGGATCACTCGTAATGTCACCTGTCAGGTAAGGGCCTGCTTCTTAATGTATGGACTGAGTAGTCCCTAAAAACAGAAATAAAAACTGGTGCAGAGGAAAGAAACAACATGGGAACTTGGCTTGTCTCCTATTCCAAAACCATACAAGTTCTGTGTTATCTAAAACTGCATAATTCCCAGCTCACTCACTGAGACTCTGAGCTTAGATGTGACTGATTCTTAAACATTGTAGAGATGGAGATGAACCTTGCAGCCTTTTTTCCCACAGGGTTCCCTACTAATCTCTGGAATGTTCTTTCCCTGAAACAGGAGAGAAGTAGATGAGTACTGAGAGCCTATGTCCTCTTCTCCGAAATGCTTGCTCTGTGGTCCAGCAAAGAGTCAGGCTGGTCCTAGACAAAAGAATACATGGAAAATGCAGTTAGTGTGTTGAGGAATAGAGAGAGGTGAGGCCAGACTGACAAATATGTGAGTTGTCTCTGAGCTGCTTCCATTCTGAATCATCTACTTTTTCTTTTTTCTAGGATTCACGCCATGGTGGGATGCTCAGTGATCTAGGAAAACAAGGTGAGATACTAGGAAATTAGGCTTCCAGAGCTTCTCCTTGGGATGGAGGTGGCATTTCTTTCCACCCCAACATTCTGGGTTTAGGCTGAGCTATTCAGACTTGTTCTTTGAAAGGAATGCGGTTGATGGAGGGAGGCAGCTCTGAGGGAACAGGGCCTCCTGGAGAATGCTGACCTAAAAATTTCTCCCCTCAAAGTAAGGTCAGTGAAGGCTCTAGTCATCACCATCTTCAACTTCATTGTCACGGTGGCAGCTGCCTTTGTTTGCACTTACCTTGGAAGCCAGTATATCTTCACAGAAATGGCCTCTGTGAGTATGGGCTAGACAAAATGCCCCAAGTGGGGGTGTTAGGGGAAGAAGGGGATGTGTGTGAAAGTGCCTTACACAGGTTAGAAATTGTGCATATTTATGCACTAATCAAAGGGAGCAATTTTGGGGGGAGGGCTGGACAGGTATTAATCACAAGAGAAGCCAGATCCCCTCTTCCTCGATTTAGGAGCTGGGTTGGAGGTTTTCCATCCCCATTAAAGGTGCTGAGGGCTAGAGAGCTGAGTCTTGGCTTACATTCCTTAAGCCTGATTTTCCCCCTCCCTAGCAAGTGCTGGCTGCATTGATCGTTGCCTCAGTGGTGGGTCTAGCCGAGCTGTATGTCATGGTGCGGGCAATGGAAGGTGAGTTGGGAGAACTGTAACTGGTGCTTCATCAACAAAGTCTGGAGAAGATTTTGGGGGCCCCAGGCCCCCAACTGCTGATAACCAACTCAATCAACCTATGAAGCTCTTTGTACTCAGCTCCAATTAGTCAGAGGACCAGGCTAGGCCATCTCCTGTTCTTACAGGAAGCCCTGTCTTCTGTGAATTTCCAGAGGGAGCATTGGAGGAGATTCAAACAACACCACTTCTTTAAAACTAAAAGAACTGACCTCTCAAAAACTTTCTACTGAACTCAGTGCCCATTTGCCTTCTCCAGTTCATTCTGGGCACTGCTGGGACTGGGTTTTTTTCAGCAGGAGTAAATGGAATCCAGGCCTTCTCAGAAGTAGACCATACTGCCTTGAACTTGCCCAAGTGCACAAATCAATCAAATCCTTCATCTGTACATCTTTGGTATAGGCCTATAATTGAGAGCAGAAGCCTCCAAGAAAGCAGAAAGGCTTCCTTTCTCAGTTTATGCTGGAAGAGGAACCAGAGGACAGGTATCAAATAAGAGAAAGAAAGGTTGGTATGGTATGGTAGATCTGGAAGCCAGGCAGCTACTTTTTTGGAAAAGGAAGTGGTGTTGGGCCCCTTTTCCAGAAGGCAAAACAGTCTAGACTGAGACCAAATGGCCAGCTATGGTCTTTCTTCTGTTGATTGGAGTCAAAGATTCCTATGTTGCCCTGATGTCTCTAACATTAAACTTCTGAGAACTTAGTTAAGTGGTGTGATAGTAGAATCTTTATATGGAATTTGAAAGTGTATCAACCTTAAGTTATTTATCCAATAAATATTTATTGTGCCCAGTGTATTCTTATTTCATATCCTGTGTCAGATACACAAAGCAAAAAGATCTCCATAATTTTCTGTTTTTCAGGATTTGCTCCTAAAGATTGACTCATTACTGTTTGTTCATTGTACATGCTCCTGTAGTTCTTGTTTTTTCCCAGAACTTTTTTATTCTTAGAGATTATATACACAGTGGCTTAGTAGACATTTCCTCTACAACATTTGCCAGTTTCTGGTAGTTGAGAGAAATGTCACCTGTGAGAAAATGTAGGTGACATTTTACAGTGTTTCTAGTAACCTGAACTGTTGAAGCTTGGTCAGAAAGCTTCAAAAGCCTTGTGGGGTTCATGGCTGTACTTCCTTGTACTCTGTGCTCCAGACTGCCCATCTAGCTATAAGCTTTCACCTCTTTCACTTGAATTTAGGTTGAATGGATTCCAGATGTTAAAAGAGATCTAACTTAATCAGAATCTCCTCAAAACAGATCCTGACCCTAGGACATCCCACAGTAAAATCGGGGTCATTCCCTCTCCCCCTGATCCCAAATTGGGATTGAACCCATGGGCATTCTACCACTAGGCTATATCTCCAGCCCTTTTTATTTTTTATTTTGAGATAAGATCTCACTAAGTTGCCCAGACTGGTCTTGAGCTTGTGATCCTCCTGCCTCAGCCCCCCAAGTAGCTGGGATTACAGACATGTGGCAAAATTGGAGTTGTTCTCTTCCCTCCACCATTTATTAGGATGGAATCTACACTAGATCCCAACCACCTCCTCACAAGTTAACAAGCTTCTATGGCATTTCAATCTTATTAAGAGCTGCTTTATGGGCTGGACACCAAGTTAGCATCTGAGGCAAAAGACCTAGCTCCTGCCTAGTGAATGAAGAGGAGGCAATGGCCATTGTGCAAGGAGGGTTCCATCTGTAAGGGCAGGATGGTGGTGTTGCTCAATGGTAGAGCACTTGCCAACCATGTGCAAGGCCCTGGGTTTGGTCCCTAGCACCTAAAAAAAAAAAAAAAAAAAATCTGCTAGGTCCAGTCCTCATTTACCTCAGTGAAGGGAGCATTGTCTTTGCCACTTCCTCTCAGGGTACCATGCTTTCTCCATGACACTCTGGGTTCAGGAAGTGCCTGGCAGGAGGTCAGAGAAACAAGAAGTTTGAGGCCTTCCCAGTTTCTTTTCTTTTTTTTTTTTTAAACACAATATCTTTATTTTATTTTTACATGGTGCTGAGAATCGAACCCAGTGCCTCATGCATGCTAGGTGAGCACGCTACCACTTGAGCCACATCCCCAGCCCCTTCCCAGTTCCTCTTGAGCTCTAGTATAGAACAGCAGAGGGAATTAGCAATTTTTGGAGTTTTTATCATGTGTCACACACTTCATGAAGCCCTTTGCCTACATTGTTTCTTATTCCCAAAATGGAGACAAGCAAGTTTTTCCGCTCAGCTTTTCTTGCACATAGTTTCAGAGAGTTGCCAGTTAAATAGCAGAGCCAGGATTTCAGTCCAGTGCAGTCTGATCACCAACTCTGCTTTTCTCCCCAAAGCTGAGCAACTCCAGAAGTGGAGGTAACTGGGATGTGCTGAAGTTAGTAGGACTGCGACAGGGGTGCTGGCAGAGGCTCCCATCACTCAGGGCCTCAGTCAGAGCCCTAAGCCCTTCAATTAACCATCCCCCTAACTAATCCCAGCAGAAGCCTTTGTAATACCTCCCACCCAGAATCTATGTGGAACCTGGCCCTATTTAGGGATTAGGTGATAAAGATAAATTTCCAAGGCAAACAGCCCTCAGCCTCATTTATTTGCAACATACAACAATCCAGATTAAAATACAGAGTTGGATTTTATTTGGAGATTAGTTGGTATTACAGATGACAGTGATACCAAAACCCAGTGCTGCTGTACCCTCCTCAACCCCAAATCTGTCAGGTTGTCTCCACAGCCCCACGTCAGAAGGCAATCTGATTTTTTTGAAAATTAAATCAACTTAAGCCCCAGGCTTCTTTTCTACTTTTATTACTTTAATATCACTCTCTCTTCAGGTCCATAGTTATGATTAATTTGTCCAGGTAGTAGGAGATGAGGGGCCCCTGAACCATAAAAAGGTGGGTTTCCAGCAGTCAAGAGTAGGAGCAGCCCTCTTCCCCTAGCATGCATAGCAGGCATTTAGGTAACGATCTAAAGGGCCCTGGTCAGACAAATGGCTGCCCCATCAGAGGGAGGAGGTCATCTCTGTGGTGAGAACTGGGGACAGGTCCTAGCAGGAGAGATGGGAAACATGACTCCTTAACTCATCCTGATGGTACTGTCAGGACAATAGATATGCCCTAGGAGGGTCCAGAGTGCTGGGTAGCAAGTACCATGCTGCAGTCACTACCGAGGACCTGCATGTGAGCTGGCCTGGAAGTGGAAGGGAGGGGTCCCGAAACTAAACTCTTCCCATTAGAGTTCTCCATTATGTAAAATAAGAGGGCAGGGGATCCAGTTCTGATGTGTTCAGTCCTAAGTGGGCTGGATGGACCGTAAGAGCCAGAGGAGAGGTCTTGGAAATTCTGGACCTGGATCAGGAGTGGTCCGCATTGGTGACAACAGCTGAGGCATAAATAAGGTCAGATAGGCTGCCCAATGAGGTTTGAGGAGTAGCTTGCTCCAAAGAAGGGTGGACCCCTGAGACCTCAGCAGGTCCCCGTGGGGCTACAGCTTTCGTCACTGCCCAGCCCTGACCTAGACCCAAGCTGGGAGCTGCACACAGGGCCTGTGAACACACCGGGGTACACTGAGCTGTGCTGGTGGCAGATGGAGGCTGGACCAGCGTTGGGGGTGCCCAGGGCTGCTGGGGGGTATCTGGAAGAGAATAGCAGCTCTGGGGAGGCTCAGGCCTGGGACTTAGGCCTCCTGGATTTCTGTTCTTGATTTTCTTGGCCCGGCGGTTCTGGAACCACACCTGGTAAGGAAGATGAAGAGGACTATTCTGTCTCCAGCACCACTTCCCTGGGACAGGACAGACCCTGAAGGCAGAATACCCAGAGAGGAGCTGTGGGTTAAGGCCAGAAGTTGGCTGTATGAAAGTAACCTATCCTGGGGGGAGGTCATGGCTCACCTGTATCTTGGCCTCCGGTAGGCGAGTGAGTTGGGCAAGGTGTTCACGGGTACCAATGTCAGGATAGGGTCGTGCTGCAAACATCCGCTCCAACTCCAGCAGCTGCCCAACACTAAATGTGATTCTCTTTCTCCGGTGGGGACCCAACCCACTGGCATGGCCTAGGGGTTGACATGGGGGTCAAGCCAGGACTCCTTGCCAGAGCCTGACTCTGCAGTCTGCACTAGCCAACCCTCTTCAACCTTCCCCATCACACCCTGCCCCACCTCTTACCCAACCCACCCTATATCCCTGTCACCTCACCTGCTGGAGATGCTTCCACAGGGCTGGCCATGGAGCTGGCAAGGGCCGAGGAGCCAGAGGGCCACGCCAGGCCTGTGCCCACACCAGACCCATCTGTTTGGGGTTTTATGCTGTTTGAGTGCCTGGCCCCACCCCCAGCAGGAGAGAGGCTTAAAGTCCAGCTAGAGTGAGAGAAGCCCAGAGCGGGGAGGGGAGGCCAGGGCTAGGATTGGGCTGATGGGGTATGGGTGAGCCAGTTTGATGGCCCCTGCCCTTCCCCAGCTTCACAAAGGAAGCTGGTCCCAGCCTCTCTCTCCAAACAACCTGTGGCAATCTGCCTGCAGTCCTGTACTTCATGAAAATCCTCTAGGGCTCCTTCCAGAAGGCCACTGATATTTTTCCAGTGTTCCCAGGACTTCAACTGCCCCTTCTGGAGCCCTCCGTGCCCTGGTTCTGGCTGCCTTCAGGGAAGAGTAGGTAGAGGCCTACCCCACAACTGACTGGGCAGTAAAGCTGGACAAGATGAGGATGAAGGGGACAAAATGAGCTGGAGCACATGCTTTCAGCAGGGCTGGGGAACAAAGGTCCACACCAGAGCTGTTTCACTTTCTGGCTGACCCTTGAGGCTTTCTGGGGCCCAGGAATCTGGAGCCAGAGGAGGCCTCACAGGTACAATTGAAGGGTTTAAAGGTGATGTTTTAACAGTGCTCTCTTCCTTAGAAGACTTCAAAGTTAGTTTGCTAAAAGAAAGGGGTACATATGAATTTCCTTCCAGCTCCAGTCCTTCCCTCTCTCTCCTGACCTCACTGCCCTCCACCCCGAACCCAGGACAAAAACTTCAAAAAACTCCCATCCTCCAGGTTGTGGTAGTGCACACCTGTGATCCCAGCTACTCAGGAAGCTGAGGCAGGGAGGGTTTTGAGTTCAAGGCCAGCCTGGGCAACTTTAAGGAGCCCTGTCTCAAAAAACAAGAAGGGCTGGCGATGTAGCTCAGTGTAGAGCACCCCTGGCTCAATCCTCAGTACCACACACACACAAAAAAAAAACACGGGATGGAAGGAAGGCAAGCCTATCCACCTACCTAGGGATGGGTTACAGGAGCATGATGACCCCGGTGACCCTACCTCTTCTCTTGCCCCTTCTATCTCCATCAAAACCCTAAGACCCTAGTCAAGTCCAAGGCTCAAAGCAAGCCAAACCCAGGGAGGAGTGGCTTAGTGACTTCTGTCATGACCAGGGGGTTTAGTGCCTGCCTACCTGGGCTGCTGGAGGCTCCTTAGCTCAGAGGAAGGGTAGTTCTCCCAACACCCTCCTCAGCCCCCAACTTTTCTGGTTCACAGAGAGGGCAATAAGCCTAGCATGGACTGACAGTTGAAGCTCCTCTGTTCCTCCTCCCCTTGACCTGTCCTGACAGCCCAGCTTGCTCTCCACCCAGGTAGGGATCCGTTGACCCCAGTCAGGACAGTAGTCTTAAACTTAGGGCTAAGTGAGCTTTATTGGGTTGGGAGAAAAGGCTGGAAGAGGAAAAAGCTGTGGAAGACCAGCTGTGTGGACTCTGGCTCCTACTTCAGGTCAGGGCAGCCCAGCCAGTACTGGGCGATGGGACGTGGGTAGGGAGGAGTCACTGTGTCCACTCGCCGTGTGCGAAGGTTAACTCGGTAGTACTTATCTGAAAGAGAGGATGGAAGAGGGTGGGTGAGACCCTATATGGTTCTGCCCACTCTTGCCCTGAGAAAGAAGACTGTATCCACAGTGCAACTAAGGACTCCTGGCCTGGCTTTCTGGGGTCTCTGCCCTCAGACTGCGTTCAGACCATGGAGACCAGAGGCAGCAGAGAAGGCTCAAGCAAAACCAGCTTCAGAGGTGGCAAGGGCTCCCACCTCCTGAGAAGAAGTAAACACTCTGGATGGGCTCGCAGGTGGCAGGCACAACCCAGTTCATGTCATAGTCATAGTTGTAGGCTTCCAGCCCGCTGTCCTCGCTGGAGAACAAGTGCAGCCAGGTGGAACGGGATGGCCGACGGGAGTTCTGGCTGTGACTGCGGCCACGACCACGACCACGGCGGGAGCGGTAGCGTTTGCGACTGCGACGTCTGGATTTTTGTTTCTTGGCCAAGGAGGAGCGGGGTGCTGAGCCTGAGATGTAGATCCGGCCGCCCATGACAGCATCCACCTTCCCAGGCACACCATGCCAGTCTCTGCTGATGAGCCCGGGCTCTCTGGCGCCCCCTGTGGCAGGGAAGGGGTTCATGGGAGGGGTTTAGAGGACCCAGTTTTGCCCTCTCCAGCAGGACCTTTAGGGTTCATCTGTTTCACCTTCATTGCCAAAGGACATAGCAAGCTGGGGGCAGAGTCCAGTGCAGACCTCAGTCTCCCTGTCCAGTGTTCCTTCCTGTGTCTACCATATCCTTGGTGTCTCCACCCCACAGCCTAGGTCTCCACAGACCCCCCTCATCCACGGCCCCTCCCTCTGCTGGTTGTGTCCTTGGCTGTTCTAGGCAAAGTCCAAGATGTGGGGTCTGGGTGGAGCCAAGCCTCCCCCTAAAGGTCAACAGAAGCAAAGTCTGGTCTCAGTAAACAGCGCTTGATCAATAGCTCCCCAATCGGCCCCCTGCAGGCAGCACAGCCCTCCCCTTCCCCAGGGATTCTGGTCCTCAGGAGATGAAAGCAAGCCTTTCCCTCAGCCATACCAGAGGATCTGCTCCAGAAGAGCAGCTCAAAGATGTCCTCCCAGCTGTCTCTCTGCAGCAGGGCAAAGTGCTCAAACACGGCCGACATGGAGCTGCCTTCACACTCCTCCCAGCTGGGCTGGTGCTGGAATTCGTACTCCCAGTACTGCTTCCCTGAGGAGCAGGGGAGCTGGCATCAGGAGGGTGGGCCTAAGCAAGGCTGGAGAGCCCAGAGGCTGCTCCAGTTAGGAGCTCTTGGCACAGGGGGTGGGCATACACTGAGGCCTGTCCCCAGGATAGCACAGAAGGAACCCGAGACAACTCTGCTGTCTGCCCATTCTTCTCCCACCCTTCTGAGTACCCTTAAAGAAGTAGACCCTTTCCCGGCCACTGTAGCTATGGGCCGGAAGAGCCAAGGCTGCGTCCACGTTGTCTGGGATGCCACCGAAGCCTTCAGAGATGTTTTGGGGGTAACCAGGGTCCAGAACACCATCCTCAAAGCGCCAGTACTGACTACCCTAAGAGGCAGGAAAGGTGAAAGAGAGTGAGGAGGCAGCTGGTTGGGCACAGAGACAGAGTCTCATACCCTAACACGGCCATTCCCAACTCCAGGCTTGCTATGCAGGACCTGGAACCTCAGACTGCTGCCTTGTCTTCACAGAGCCCCAGCCAGGTACCACAGGGTCCTGCATCTGACTTTCCTGCCCACCATGGTTCTGGGAATACCAGTTCTCAGCCCTTCCCTAAATGTTCTCTGTCCTGACCCACAGTCCCTGGGCCTGGCACCTTGAAGAGGTAGGTCTTCCCCTGACAGTTGACGCGGGTGAAGGCAGCATCAATGGGGCCCTCGATGCCCCAGACATCTCGGATGAGCTTGGGGTACCCAGGCCTCACTGCTGTTTCATCCAGCTCATAGCAGTACTGTCCTAGAGTGGGGGAGGCTGTATGAGAGAGAGCATGCTCCTGAGGCAGACCCCCACCCCCAAGACCTTCCGCTGGACTCACCTCGGAAGGCAAAGAGGGAACCATTCTTGAGGTCAGTGAAGGCATCAAAGGGCTTCCCACTGCACAGCTCCTCCTCTGTGGAGAACTCAGAGGGCCCTTCAGCAGTAGCTTCAGGTCTTAAGTTCATCCCCTCAGGTCCTGAGGTCTCCACCTCAGGCCCTTGGGGACTTGACTCGGCTGTAAGAGCTTCTTCCTCAGGGTTCGAGACAGTTGTCGGCTCAGGAGTTCCTTCAGGGCTCACGGAGGAGCTCTCATAGAGGTCATAGGTCCCATATTCATCTTCTGGCATAGTGAACACATCCCCACGAGTCACTGCAGATAGAATGGGTGATATGAGTCTCCAGCTACAGAGGAGACCCCAGGCCCACCTACCTAGGTATTGAACGCACCTTGGGTCTTGCACTCGGTCATGTAGTCAACACAGCAGCTCTGGTAGTAAGAGCAGAGCTCATCGCACTGACACTTCTTGTCAGCATTGAAACCCTCAGTGCAGCGGCCCTTGCATGACTCTATGGAGAAGGGGTGTCAGTTGATACAGCCAAGACCGGGCCACCCTCACCCACCCTTACATTGCCTCAGATGGTATCAACACTTTGGTTCACACCTTGGTCAGCCACAGCAACCGACACCAGCAGAGCCAGTATGAGAAGGGGCCTTGGAGGTGCCATGAAGGAGCCTCTAGTTGACGGGCCTGGCAAGCTGGGCTCTGAGCTCCTGGAGTCTCTGCTGCCTAAAATAGGGAGGGGGGGAAAATGAGCCAGGGAGGGAGGGAACTGGAGAAGAGGAGCTGTCCTCTCTGCCACTCTGTTTGCTCAGCCTCCAGCCCAGCCCCCAGTTTCCCTACTCCACAGGCTGCAACTACAAAGGGTCACATTCTCAGAACCCCAGGCCTGGGAGAGCTGGGAAACAGAGTCCTTGCCAAGCTCAGGGTCATCAGGTCATCTGGACAGGGAATAGCATGGTGTGTCCGGAGGGCCGAGGGAAGGCTCATGCTGTCACTCACTGAGAAAACTGCTTTGTCTCTCTGAGTCTTTGTTTTCTTTTCAGTAAAATGGGACTAATAGTACTTTGCCTTGCGGGATGTTGAAGGATTACATGAGCTAGAACAGACAAAGTGCTCAGGGCCTGCAGTAGTTTCAAATTAATTCTCATAAATGACTACTGATGCATGATTTATTTGAGCAGGCACATCTCTGGCTGGGTGCTCATCTATCCACTGTGTATTTAGGACAGAGAAAAGGGGGTGGGAGCAGAGGTGGTAAGCATCCAGGGAAATGCTATTTTTTTATCATTAAAGTACAAAGTTTCAATTCTGGCTTCTCCTTGTGGGTCTGTCATCTCTCCAAACTGGTCTTCACAGCACAGAAAAAAAGTGAATATGAACCCTTTGGACCAGATCCAATTCCTGAGGCTTCCGTTAGTTCATCAGTGGTGGGCAGACCACTCCCTGTTCCCACCTTCAATCTCCCCATTTGTAGAGTAGGCTTATTCAGCACACTTTTAGACTCTTAAAATAAGTGTTATCCCCCCACCCAGAAAATGCCTGCTGGAACAAAACACCTGTTTGTTTCTTGTTGTTGTTGTTGTTGTTTCAATATTTTTTAGCTGTAGAGGGACACAAAATCTTTATTTATTTATTTATTGCTGAGGATGGAACCCAGTGCCTCACACATGTGAGGCAATCGCTCAACCACTGAGCTACAACCCCAGCTCCAGATCACCTGTTTTTTGTGCCCCATTTCAGGCATCCACAGGCTTCTGAAGCCCCTCTCACCATCTAAAAGCCGTGAGTTTTCCCGAGTTGTTAGCTAACTTTTTTTTGTTCTGTAATCTGTGGAATGTGACTTTGGCCAGTGTCTTCCGTTTGGGCCTCAATGGTGTCAGCTGTAAAATGGAATACTAATCCTACCCCACAGGCGTATTGTGAGGCTTGAGAAACAGGCATAAAACCTTTAGAATTTTACAGAATCATTACCACGACTGCTTTAACCACTAGGAGGGGAAGGGGCACATTCAGCGGTATTGCTCTCACGTCAGCGCAATCCGGGAGGAGGAACTGTGACAGTTCTCTTTCTCCACTTCCCCCGCATCCAGAGCAAAGCAGTGGAAGGCGATTGTGGGAAGGGGCGGGGCCAGGGTGTGGGAGGGACTGGAGAAGGCTTGGGGTGGGGCTGCGCACGCGGCGAGGGAGGAGACTTAGAAGAGGAGAGTCGGCTTGGGAACACAGCTACTCAGGGGCGTGGCTGCTGCAGAGCTTCCCAGTCCAGCGATCCTAGCTGGAGCCGCGCTTTGTTCTGGCCGCCGCTTCCTCTACCCTTTAGCGTCTGGATCCATCCTTTGCCTCCCCCACTGTCCCCTTCCACCTTCTCCCTGCATCTGGGTTTGCATCCTCTTCCCCAACCGCTGCACTCCCTGGCCGCCTTCACTCCTGGCCGAGTCGCTGCCTGGGATGCTTCTCTGAATTCTTCCCTCTGCATCTTCTTCCCCTTCGCCCTTTTTCGGGTCTGTTTTCCCCAGGTCCAGGTCGCTCCTCCCGGCCCCACCCCTCCAAGCCGGGAATGTCCCTCGGAGCTCTGTGCCCATGGTCCTGACCCTGCTTCTCTCTGCCTACAAGCTGTGCCGCTTCTTCGCCATGTCGGGCCCACAGAACGCGGCCGACCGGTTGACAGTGCCGGGGCCGAATGGGGGTAGTGGCTCGGGCCCATGGTGGGCTACTGGCTTCCGAGGGTCCCGCGAGGTGTCGCCTGGGGTGGGCACCGAGGTGCAGGGCGCCCTGGAGCGTGCGCTGCCGGAGCTGCAGCAGGCTCTGTCTGCGCTGAAGCAGGCGGGCGCCGCTCGGGCTGTGGGCGCGGGCCTATCGGAGGTCTTCCAGATAGTGGAGGAGGCCTGGCTGCTGCCGGCTGTGGGCCGCGAGGTGGCCCAGGGTCTTTGCGACGCCATCCGCCTGGACGGCGGCCTCGACCTGCTGTTGCGGCTGCTGCAGGCACCGGAGCTGGAGACCCGCGTGCAGGCCGCACGCCTGCTGGAGCAGATCCTGGTGGCTGAGAACCGGTGAGGGTTCTGGGCTTGGGGGAGAGTGCCATGGGTGGTGCGGCAGCCAGAGCGGTGGAGTGCCTGGGTCTCCGGTGTGCCTGGGCTGTACCTTTGCCTGCTTCACCTTAATATAGTCCCACACTACACCTCTATTAGGTATCAGCGCCTCTATTTTACAAACGAGGAAACTGAGGCTAAGGAAAGTTTAGTGACTTGCCCAGAGTCACACAGAGAACTAGTGGTGCAGTGAGGATTCACACCCAGCACCAGTAGCTTAGGAAAGGAGCCTGTCTTCGGTTCTATGGATGGAGATGGTATCCTATTGCCAATGGCTACCTACACCCAGCTCTTGGAACGTTTAGGTGCCCTTTTATGCCCTTCTATGCTATCTTCTCTCCTGACTAGACATGATCTCATTGTACTGCTGCTGATGGGGAACAGAAAGTTTTCTGCTGGAGTGAATGGGTGGGGGCGGAGGAAAGGAGGTGCAGAGCTGGGCAGGCGCCGAAGCATGTGTTCTTTCCTCCTTCCCAAATAGCACCAAGATTTAGTAAGCAGGGTCCAACTGAGCCTAGTTGCTTTTATTTTGCCTCCCTCTAGGGATCTCCCTTGATGCATGAAGACCCAAGGGTTCACTTTCTCTCCCCTCTGATGCCACAGCAGTTCAGGTTGTCAGGCTCCAGTCTCTTTCTGAATTCTCAGGCTCCTAGGGTTAGAAGAGTTTTGCAAGAGTTACTTTCAAGTCATGCAGTCCTCACAAGTGTGATGGGAGTGTGTTGGAGTGTTTGCCATTTTCAAAAAGAAACAAATCACCTTGCAATTAGTGGAAATTATACAACTGTCAAAAAATGCATGAATGAAGCAGTTTAAGCTAAAAGACCAAGATCAGCTTCCGTTTAGCAGGTCATTAATGTCTTATCTATCATCATGTGTCCTGATTGAAATGGGTCATGAATTTGGAGGGCTAGAAAAATGGAGTGAGTGCTCATTGGGTGTGGTGGGGTCCAGGTTGGTGGGTGTGGGCTTTACATGTGGATTGAGACAGTTACAATTAAATCCCCTGGGAATTGGGAAGAGAAAGCCTTCAAGATGCAAACAGTTTTATTTCTCAAGGATGAAAATGACAATCCTCACTTGGTGCTAGTTACTGAGAGAGCAGTCACTAACCAGTGTCCCTGGTCCCAAGAAACAACCCATGTACCAGTGCCAGTGTTACGTCAGGACCAAGGACAGAGTGCAGTGCAGGATCAAAATCCTTCCCAAGAAATGCGTTCCTCTAAATGGGAAGAGAGAGAAGGGGGACAACATAATGACAATTTGTGTTCATGAAATGTTTTGTGTTCATGAAATGTTTTTCCTTCTATACCAATCTACCCCTCCCCACACCAGCTCCTGTTAAAGAAAGTTCTTCCTATTCTTACAATTTTTTTTCCCAGGGGGTGCTGTACCCACTGCCCAGAAGCTCAGGCCAAAATTTCCCTCACCCCAAACTGCCAGAAGAAGTCCAACAGGTGGGGTCTCTGAACCTGGCCCCACAACACCCCATGAGGGTCTCATCTGACTACCAACCCTCTAAATTCATACACATAATGAATATAACTTCAGAAAGGTTAAATGGTTTTCATAAGATTACACAATAAATAAATATAGGAAACAGGCTTTTTAAATAAAAGCAGAAAAATATTGCACATAGGTTCAAAAAGTGCAGAAATAATACAACTAAAACCTCTCACCAACCAAATCCCTCTTCATTTTTATTTATTTGTTTGTTTGCTTATTGGTACCATAGATTGAATCCAGGGCCTCACTAAATTGCTGAGACTGTCTTTGAACTTGTGATCCTCCTGCCCCAAACTCCCAAGCCAATGGGATTACAGTTGTGTGCCACCACACCTGGCCAAATCTCCTTTTCAGAAGCAATGCACTGAAAGCAAGTTTCCTGTATATCCTTCCAGAGAAAGTCTATGCCTACTCAAGTATTTGCATATATATGTATAAGTCACATATACACAATTTCCCTTTTCAAGCTGAGAGTTGAACCTAGACCTGCATGTGTCCATTTTATCAAACTAGTATTCTCTCAGATCACAGAATTGGGAACTGAGTGAATAGTTCCCACAATCAGCACACATTTTAACTCTGGCAAGGTGCCAGGTGCATATAGAAAGATAAGGGCTGCAGGTAAAGAGACCTGGAATAAAGTCCTAGCTCTGAATTGATATTCCTGAACAAGCCCTTTCCTTCACTGGGCCTTAGGTAGGTCCTTTGAAAATGAGTGTTAGATTAGGTGATTCTTAAGTACATCCTAACACATCAGATATCTGAAAGCACAAAGTAAAGATGAAACATATTGAACTCTGGAGACATACAGACCTGGGATTACAGGTGTGCACCACTGTGTTCAATATTAGGTTTTTTGTTTTTGGTGTGTGTGTGTGTGTGCTGGGGATTAAACCCAGTGCCTTGCGCATGCAAGGCAAGCACTCTACCAACTGAGCTATATCCCCAGCCCTCAACCCCAGCACCAACCCCAGTTGCAGTGTTATCATCTGCTCAGTCATTTGTTACTGTTCCAAAATCCTCCTTGGGCACCCGCCCACATTACCTTTGTTCTTCAGGCCTTGATACCAACTTCAATTTCCTCACACCACAAATAATACTGTGGCAAGCATCCTTACCCTCCTGCCCTCATTAATCTGTGGACACTCTTTGGAGAGATTGCCTGCCCCAGCCTGCACCTCCACCCACAGTGCCTCAGCACATTTATAGCCCTACACCCTGCCAACTTCTTATGATCCAGCATATGATTTTGCCCATCTAATAGGCATAAAGTGAGAGCTGTTGTTCTAATATTCATTTTTCTGAATACTAGTGGGTTAGAGCATCTTTTTATTTGTTTGCTTACATTTTGGATTTCCTCTTTTATAAATTACCTGTTTATGTCCTTTGCCCATTTTTTATCAAATTCACTGTCTTTTCCATGTTGATTTGAATATTACTTGTGCACTTTCCATATGATCTCTTGCTGATTTTCAGTTTTTCCTGGTTAGGGTTAGACACTGCATTAACTGGCTTTCTTTTTCTTCCTCAATCATGCCAACCCTGATGGAGCTCATCAGCCTCCAGACCTTTGTCTTGGTCTTCTTACTCACTGTTATGCTCTTCTCTGGTATTTGCAAGCAGGATTTTCTCAATATTTAACTCTTAGATGTCACCTCCTTAGGTACATCTTCCCAACGGGCATGCTCTATTACATTATCCAGTTGCTAGCATCATGGCTGTATCACTAAGATCTTGTTCATTCACTCGTTACTTGCTAATCGTTGACTTTCTTATTAGTTGAGGGTAAACCTTGGTCACTGTTTAACATTAGCCTCTCTAGCACGAAGCAGGATACACAGTATGTGCTCAACAAGCATCTGTGAGTGAATGAATAATGTGCCTTAGTCAGGGAACATTGTGTGAGGAAAGGTTTGAAGGCAGAGCTAAGTGTGATGTAATTCAAGTGACACTTAAACTGACCATAAGTTAACATTTGAATGTTTATTATGGAGGCATGGTGCCAAGCACTGTATATGGATTATCTAATGAGTCTTTTTTTTTTTAAAGAGAGAGAGAGAGAGAGAAAGAGAGAGAGAGAGAGAGAGAGAGAGAATTTTTTAATATTTATTTTTTAGTTTTCGGCGGACACAACATCTTTGTTTGTATGTGGTGCTGAGGATCGAACCCGGGGCGCTACCGCTTGAGCCACATCCCCAGCCCATCTAATGAGTCTTGATAAGAATTCTATTAGTGGGCTGAGGATGTGGCTCAAGCGGTAAGCGCGCTCTCCTGGCATGCGTGTGGCCCGAGTTCGATCCTCAGCACCACATACAAACAAAGATGTTGTGTCGGCCAAAAAAAAAAAACAAAAAAACTAAGAAATAAATATTAAGAAATTCTCTCTCTTTAAAAAAAAAAAAAGAATTCTATTAATGTTCTTATTTTCCTGTTGATAAAATGAGGAAACTGAGGTACAGATATAAAGGACCGTGCCCAAGGTCCTTCACAAAATGGCAGAGAAGGACCTGGGACCCTGGCGGTTGGCTTCAGAGCCAGAGCATACTGCTCGGGGAGGAGATGCGGAAGAGATGGGTGTAGCCAAGATGGAGCACCTTTATATTCAGAGAAGCTTGCTCCTTGCAGGTCTAGAAGTGAGGGTAAGGCTGGAAGGATAATGCTGTCCTCCATGTCTCATGTGATACCAGTGAGGTTAAGAGGATAATTGACCAGGCCCCCATAATGAGAAAGCCAAGCTCCCCAGGCTGCGGTAACTCCCTCATCCCCTTCCACTTTTTCCTCGCAGAGACCGCGTGGCTCGCATCGGACTGGGCGTGATCCTGAACCTGGCGAAGGAGCGCGAACCCGTGGAGCTGGCGCGAAGCGTGGCAGGCATCTTGGAGCACATGTTCAAGCACTCAGAGGAGACTTGCCAGCGGCTGGTGGGGTCTGGAGGCCTGGACGCGGTGCTGTTCTGGTGCCGCCGCACAGACCCTGCACTTCTGCGCCACTGCGCGCTGGCGCTGGCTAACTGCGCGCTGCACGGCGGCCAAGCGGCGCAGCGGCACATGGTAGAAAAGCGCGCGGCTGAGTGGCTTTTTCCGCTAGCTTTCTCCAAGGAGGACGAGCTACTGCGTCTGCACGCTTGCCTCGCTGTGGCTGTGTTGGCAACCAACAAGGAAGTGGAGCGCGAGGTAGAGCGCTCGGGCACGTTGGCGCTGGTGGAGCCACTCGTAGCTTCGCTAGACCCTGGCCGCTTTGCGCGCTGCCTGGTGGACTCCAGCGACACAAGACAGGGCCGCGGGCCAGACGACCTGCAGCGCCTAGTCCCTCTACTCGACTCATCACGCTTGGAAGCACAGTGCATCGGGGCCTTCTACCTCTGCGCGGAGGCTGCCATCAAGAGCCTGCAGGGCAAGACAAAGGTGCGGTACAGGGTAGGGTGGGTCAGTGGTTAGAGAGCGCCTGGACCTGCTTCCCAGAGGAAGAGACGTTCAAGAGGGACTAGAAGTACACCTAAGAAGTAAATGAGGGCTGGGGTTGTGGCTCAGTAGTAGAGTGCTGGCCTAGCATACATGAGGCACGGGTTTGATCCTCAGCACCACTTAAAAATAAAATATTGTGTCCACCTAAAACCAAAAACTAACTAAATAAATAAAATAATTAAATGAAGCAAGACAAAGGTTGAGGGGCCAGTCATTTGGGCTTTGAAGGCAAGACTCAGAGTTTGTACTTGGTTTGAAGAGCAAGAGGAAGACAGGTTTTAAAACAGGGATCTTGTGTTTGTTAAAGATCATCCTGGCCGCTGTGTGGAAAGGGGGTTGGCAAGGGTGAGATTGGAGGTAAAGGAACCTAATAGAAGGCTATAACATGGGACAGGGCATGTCAGGAATGTCAACAGCGACAGAGAAGCACTCAAGAAATGTTTAGGAATGGAGTTTGCAACTTGGTGCTTGGGAGGAGAAAGAAGAGCTGAGGGATACCTCTGGCCATGAACATAGGAGGCCCAGTGGATGTGGTAAACTGGGTGAAAGACAGGGCAAAGTTGATGAGAGGAAGAAAGTGAATGCAGTGGGTCATGTTGAGTTGGAGGTACTTGAGAGATGCCCGGCTGGCAAGCTTCAGTGGGCAGTTTAGCCACCTGAGTTCTGGAATCTTGAATGGAGATGGTGACTGGAGACAGAGGCTTGTGGTAGGACATCAGTGTGTCAGCCAAATAACTCTCACCAGCTAGATGTGGAGGCACACATCTGTAATCCCAGCTTCTCTGGAGGATGAGGCAGGAGAATGGCAAATTCAAGGCGAGCCTAGACAACTTAGTAAGACCCTGTCTCAAAATGAAATAAACAGCTCGGGGTAGAGTGCTTGCCTAGTATGTGCAAGGCCCTGGGTTTAATCCCCAGTACCCAAGAGCAAAAACAAAAACCTCTCACTTTAGTCCCAAAAGGTCCCTACCTCCAGGGTCTAAACCATGGCTTTTGCTTACTGCTTTAACTTTGTATGTGACCTTGGGCACCTTCTCTTCCTCTCTGGGGTTAATTTTTATCCTTTGGAAAATTGAAGGGATTGGACCACAGATTGCAGTTTTTACCCTGGTTGTGGGGCTAGTAATAGTTTCATCATCAAAAGTTTGTGGGGTTTATTTTTTTAAATATTACTGGTTCAACATTGTTCCTATAATGTTACTTTCTCTACTTTGCAGTCCTCTGGAGGCCTTGGGTGTAGGTAACAGCTAGTGTGCAGGAAATGGTATATCCCATGGCACCCACAGCTGCACCCACAGCTGTTATTCATGGGTGCTCACAGGTGATGGCCACTCATCACATGTGTCCCTTCAGGCAAAAAGACTTGTGTTAGGAGTCTCTGAGGTCTCTTCCAACATCTAATTTTCTAGGAGCTTCTGATTCTTCTCTCTGAGTCTCAGAGTTGAGCCATGAGACTTGCTCTATAAAGCACATCATTCTGCTTTGGGAGAAGGGATTTGGATGGGTGTAGGGATCAGGACCTCAAGGACTGGGTCTGGGCAGCAGTTGTGACCACAAGATCTGTCACCCCTTTCCCATCAAGGACAAATGAATGCAGTTCAACAAAGATATATTGAATTTCCAGTCTGTGTCCTTCATTGTGCCAGGCATAGAGCTTCTGTGGTGACTAAGCATGTCCTTACCTTATAATCCAATGGAAATTGCATTATCCACTAGTAACAGTGACATTCAGAGCATGATACAAGTCCTGTCTGGAGGTGTGGCCCAAGTTTCGGAGGAATCAAAGCAAGCTCACAGAATAGATGCTAATCAATTTGGATTCTGATGGATGAGTAGGTTTCCCACAAACAGGCTGAAAGAACTAAGAGTTTGGAGACACCATGGGTGGAGACCTGAGGTGTGAGCACCTTAGTAGGTATGTGAAGGGAGCTGGGTGCGGTGGGCTGTTGGCCATGCTGAGAGCTCAGACTTCATCCCAAGGTGGGTAGAAGCTGTGGAAGAGACAGGCAAGGGGAACCTGGTCAAGAGTCCAGTGAACTTCACAAGGGAGACTCCACAGGACCAGGTGACAGTGGATGAAGGCAGGGCTAGGGCAGATTGATGCAGAGGGGATTCTCAGCAGAGAGATGAGACAAGTGGGAGGGACCGGGCATGTTTGGGAGCGGCTGGTGAGCTGGCGGACTCTACACGTCCTCTCCTCCCCTCCTCCATAGGTGTTCAGCGACATTGGCGCTATCCAGAGCCTGAAACGCCTCGTTTCCTACTCCACTAATGGCACCACGTCAGCGCTGGCGAAGCGCGCACTGCGCCTGCTGGGCGAGGAGGTGCCGCGGCGCATTCTGCCCTGCGTGGCCAGCTGGAAGGAGGCCGAGGTCCAAACGTGGCTGCAGCAGATCGGCTTCTCCCAGTACTGCGAGAGCTTCCGGGTAGAGCCTCGGGGTCGGGCTTCCCCGAGTGGGACTGAGCGCTTCCCTGAGAGCCGCAGGGTCACTGGGGTCCCCATGAGCACAAGCGACTGCATACTTCGTGGCCCCATAGGCCCCAGGCGCCACGGTGCCCTTTTGGGGATGGGGAGCCTGCACTCATCCTGGAAGTCCCTCATCTCTGATCTGGGTCCCATCCACCTCCTCCACTGCCACTTCCAGTTTCCTACCCTTGTATCTGTGCTTGAAATTTGGGGGTGGGGGAGGGGAGTCCTTCCTCACATCTGACTTCTCCCCCAGGAGCAGCAGGTAGATGGCGACCTTCTTCTGCGGCTCACAGAGGAGGAACTCCAAGCCGACCTGGGCATGAAATCTAGCATCACCCGCAAAAGGTAAGGGGAGCCCCGAGCCAGCAGGACCCTACCAGGTCTAACTAACTGCCCGCACGGCCACTAGCCAGTCCTGAGTCAGGATCTCAGTATCTTTTCCTCCTGTGGTGCAGGTTCTTTAGGGAGCTTACGGAACTCAAGACATTTGCCAACTATGCTACGTGCGACCGCAGCAACCTGGCCGACTGGCTGGGCAGCCTGGACCCACGCTTCCGACAGTACACCTATGGCCTGGTCAGCTGCGGCCTGGACCGCTCCCTGCTGCACCGCGTGTCAGAACAGCAGCTGCTGGATGACTGTGGCATCCGCGTGGGCGTGCACCGCGCCCGCATCCTCTCCGCTGCCAGAGGTCAGCCCACACACCAGGGACCCCACCCCAGCTCCGACCCTGGAGGGGCGAGGGGAGACAGGGTGGAGCTCAGAGCCTCCCAAGGGAGTGATGGAGTTCTGCGCTATGGCAGACTGGGCTGTGAGGATCTAAAGATGTAGCCCTCAGGAAGTTCACAGTCTGAATTGAGTAAGGCTAGGTGGTTCTACTGGGAAGCATACCCCGGATTCCAGTAGGGGGTGGAGGCAGCACTTACTACCCTATTCACCCAGATCTAAACTTCAGAGGAGACGCCTGACCAAGTATTGAGGGGTGTATGGCAGGGATGGAGTAGCAGGATGGGCAGCCCAGGTCAGGGCTCAGCTTGTGCCATAGTAGTAGGACAGTGCATGGGCCCATACATGGGGTAGTAGCCAGCTTACAAAGTATGGTTTCTGGAGATGTTTTGCAATAGCATCTAGGTAGAGCTCTAAAAACCCTATTTACAAACTTATTTTCACTAATTTTCTATTTAGGTAGTAATTATCATTAACACCAGGTACTAATATTAATTTTTTTTATACATTTATTTTATTTATTTATTTTTATGTGGTGCTGAGGATTGAACCCCAGCCCCCTAATATTAAATTTTTAAGATATTACCTCATTAATTTCTACAACCATCCTATGCAGTGGGTGGTTAATATGTTTTAAATCAACTTTATAACACCTTTTAAAGAATAGAAAGAGGGGATGGAGTTGTGGCTCAAGGGGTAGAGCACTCACCTAACATGCGTGAAGCACTGGGTTCGATCCTCAGCACTGCATAAAAATAAAATGAAGGTATTATGTCCACCTACAACTAAAAGTATATATTTTAAAAAAGAATAAAAAGAGGCCCTAAGAAAAGTAAGTTTCCAATTTGAAGAGTTTGGAAAATATACGCCTCTGTGATAGAGCATTTCAATCATAAGTGTTACTTCTAAAGATAATGAAACTAAGATTTAAAGCATTTAATTTCCCAAGGTTATAAAAGCCAAAAGATGTCAGAATTGGGATTTGAGCCCCTGTTTTTCTGCTTCATAAACAGACAAATATCTGTGGGTGTTAATTCTGAATACTATAGGAAGAAGAATTCTTTTCATTGAACCCATTCATTCAGCAAGTAGGTACTGAGCACCTTCATGGCACAAGGGACTGGGCCTTGGCTTCATTCTTTTGCTTCAACCAAACCAGGTCAGCTTTTATCATTTTCACATTACAGCTCTCAACAAAAGTCTAAGATTTTATTGTTTTAAGAAAACAGGAAGGTCTAGGGCAAAAATAACTTTCAAAAAACAGTTTCTCTAGGGAATAAGGAGCCATGCACAGGTTTTTTTGTTTGTTTGTTTGTTTTTGTTTGTTTGTTTGTTTTGTGTGTATAATTGTTATTGTTTTGTTTTGATACTGGGGATTGAACTCAGAGGCACTCAACCATTGAGCCACATCCCCAGCCCTATTTTGTATTTATTTAGAGACAGGATCTCACTGAGTTACTTAGTGCCTCACTAAGTTGCTGAGGCTGACTTTGAACTTGTGATTTTCCTAACTCAGCCTCCCAAGTCGCTGGGAATATAGGCATGTGCCACCATGCCCAGCATGTACTGTTTTTAAATGGGGCAGACATGCTTAGGTTTGGGTTTTAGAAAGACCCCTGTGGTGACTGGAGATGTAGTTTAGGGGGAGAGTGTTTGCCTAATGTATGAGGCCCTGGGTTCTATCTCCATCACTGCAGAAAGAAAAGAAAAGAAAAGAAAAAAGAAAGAAGGATGGTGTAAAAAATGAATTAGATGGGACAATCCTAGCTGGATTTGGGAGCCCATTGAGGTGAATAGTGTCAAGGATCTGCACATAGGACCCTGTGGCTAGGTAGAAACCATAGAGCAGGGTGCCTGGTGCTGAGGCTAAACTGTGATATTCAAAAGGCTAGATGTATTAAATACATTTTATTTATTTTTATGTATTTATTGGTATTGGGGATTGAACCCCAGGGTGTTTAACCTCTAAGCCACATCCACAGCCTTAAATACTTTCTTTCTTTGTTTTTCTTTTCTTTTTTTTTTTTTGTGTGTGTGTGTTTTGTACCAGGGATTGAACCCAGGGTGCTTAACCCTTGAGCCCTTTTTATTTGTATTTAGAGACAGGGTCTCACTGATTTGCTTAGCAATTCACTAAGTTGCTGAGGCTGGTTTTGAACTCTGATCCTCCTGCCTCAACCTCCAGAGCCACTGGGATTACAGGCATGCTCCACCATGCCCAGCTTAAATGCATTTTGACATGATATTTTCAACTTATCATGGGTTTTCAGGAAGTAGTAACCTCATTGTAAGTGGAGAAGCATCTGTGTTTATTTGTTTATTTATTGTAATATTTATTTTTTAGTTGTAGTTGGACACAATACCTTTATTTTTAAAAATTTTTATGTGGTGCTGAGGATCGAACCCAGGGCCTTGCACATGCTAGGCAAGTGTCCTATTGCTGAGCCACAACCCCATCCCCAACATCTGTATTTGTTGAATAAATAAAATACCCAGGTTTCTGGTGGAAACTGGAATGAAGGGATGAGGGGAGGACCTGGGCTGTATTGAGTTTGGAGTGCCTGTGGGCAGCTGGCTGTGCAGGTCTGCAGTTCCAGAGAAAGGGCAAGGCTGGAAGTCCATGTCAATGAACCTTTTGAGAGGGACTCATCAATGATGATGGCCTTCCTTCCTGTAGGCCCCATATCTCCACCTCAGTCACCTTTTTTGAAGCAAGCTACCTTGTCCAAGCTGGGCTGAGAGGACTGGGTAGACACAGGACCAAGTCTCCAAGGCATGATGGACTTCATCGTAAGTAGTGGGGGGGACTGCCCTCACCATGCTGTCTCTCTTGTTGGCCTCAGAAATGCTACACTCCCCACTGCCCTGTACTGGCTGCAAGCCCGGCGGGGACATCCCAGATGTCTTCATCAGCTACCGAAGAAACTCAGGCTCCCAGCTGGCCAGGTAAGGAGGGGTAGGCAGCAGGCATCCTGGGCCTTGGGGAGAAGCCAGGGTGGTGACACAGGGCCTCTCTGCAGTCTCCTGAAGGTGCACCTACAGCTGCATGGCTTCAGTGTCTTTATCGATGTGGAGAAGCTAGAAGCGGGCAAGTTTGAGGACAAGCTCATCCAGAGCGTCATGGGTGCCCGCAACTTTGTGCTGGTGTTGTCACCTGGGGCCCTGGACAAGTGCATGCTGGACCATGACTGCAAGGACTGGGTGCACAAGGTAGGTGTTGACCTGTGCCTCTGCCATCCCAGTACTGGCCCAAGGCCCAGGGGACTGAGTTCCCCTTCTATCCCTTCTTTTCTACACACCCAGCAACACTTGGCCCCAGAACACCTCTCTGGCCCAGCTGGAAGTTGGGAGCCACAGCTCTGACTGGAATGCAGCTTTAGCAAACCACTTTGGATCTCTCTCTCTTTTTTTTTTAACATTTATTTTTTAGTTATAGGTGGACACGATAGCTTTATTTTATTTTTATGTAGTGCTGAGGATTGAACCCAGTGCCCCACACATGCTAGGCAAGCAGTCTATCATTGAGTCACAACCCCAGCCCCCACTTAGGATCTTGAACCTCGGTTTTCTCATCTACAAAAGGGGATACTTACCCATGCTGTTCACCTTGTAGGATTATTGTGAGTGTCAGAGGGGGATGAAAATGCTTTGCAAAATAACCTCTGTGAGGCAGAAGAGAGTACAGTGACAGGCAGTTAGGAATCATTGTTAAGAACATAAAACTGGAAGTTTGGATCTTGGCTCTGGCCTTGGGCAAATTACTTAACTCCAAGGAACTTCATATTTATTACTGTAAAGTGGAGACAATAATAGTAGCAACTCCCTAGGATACTGTTACAAGGATTAAAAGAGCTAAACTGAAGTGCTTAGCAGAATGTCTGGCACATAGTGATTGCTCAATAATGACAGCTATTATTATTATTATGCCGATTGTATCTGTTTAATTCACCATTGTATATTCAATGTATGACACCTAATAGGAACTTAGAATATTTATAGAATAGCTGGTTGTAGAGGTGCACATCTATAATCCCAGCGACTTGGGAGGCTGAGGCAGGAGGATTGCAAGTTCCAGGTAAGCCTTGGCAACTTAATAAGGCCCTAAGCAACTTAGTGAAACCTTGTCTCAAAATAAAAAATAAAAAGTGCTGAACTTGTGGCTCAGTAGTTAAGCATCCCTGGGTTCAATCTCTAGTATATAAAAAAAGAAGAATACTTATAGAATGAATGGGTAGATGGAAACATATCGCATCTTCAAGTTAATCATTAATCAGTCAAAAAGAATTGAGGGTTGGAGCTAAGGGATGCCGTAGTTATCTGAGATGGAGTTCTTATCTTCAAGCAGTTCATGAGAAAAGAATGTGCCATCCCTGAGTCAGGTGTGGTGGCTCACACATGTAGTCCCAGCCACTTTGGAGGCTGAAGCAGGAGGATCACTGAGGCAGGAAAAAGGCTGAGACCAGTCTGGGCAACATAGTGAGACCCCTGTCTCTTAATACACACACACACACACACACACACACAGCATATGCTCGCATTGCCTAGATCATATATAAATTGATATAAATGCTAAACTACGAAGATGAACCTGTTAGATCTGTGCTTGAAGCACTGGGAAACAGGGAGCCCGTGATGGGGGAGATGGGCAATGGGTGTTTGGATGGAAGCACTAGAGTGGTCCAGATTGGCAGTTGCGGGGAGGGCCTAGCTCCAGAAGCCATGCAGGAAGAGGCACATACTGGGTCTGGTTTCAGGAGGAGGCTCTGGAACAGGAAGACATCCTGGAGGAACATGGCTGAGGACCAAGAGCCGGCAGCCTTCTGAGCAGGTGGCAGTAGCCTTCTGAGAGAGGAAGTGTCTGTGAGCTCCATGAGAGTTCAAAGGAAGCTCAAAAGCGTGTATAGAAGCTGGGTGCAGTGGCACGTATCTGTAATCTTAGTAACTTGGGAGGCTGAGGCTGGGTCACAAGTTCAAAGCCAGCCTCATCAACTTAGAATGACTCTGTCTCAAAATAAAAAATTTAAAGGGCTGGGGATGTGGCTCACTGGTAAAGCACTCCTGGGTTCAATCTCTAGTACCAGAAAAAAAGTTTATAGAATAATTGAGCCAATGACTAAACAAATGAATGATTTTGATGTGCATCTACTAAGTTTACCAGGTTAGAAGACTTGTCCTGAAGTTTTCATTTTAGCCAGCTGAGGGAACTTGAACAAGTCATTATCCCTTCCTTAGCCAGTCTCTGAATCTGCACAGAGCAATCTCTTTGGTTCTATGTAATTTTACATGAAACAAATTATTCTAAAGACTTGTGATTAAGTGTAACAGGATCAAAATCCATCCAGATGCTCAGCAGAGACACAGCAGGGCTTGGTTGAAACAGGCCTGGACTTAGGCTCTGAAGGCTCCAGTTGTAGGCCTGGCCCCTCCCGGAGTGGGTGTTTGGGTGATTGTTGGGGGGTCCTTTCCTTTCTCTAAGCTTCCTTCTCTTCAGCTGTAAAACCAAGAGGCTCCCAGAAGCCAGTCAGGGTTGAAGTTAGGCTGATTCTTTCTCCAAAAAGTCTCTGCCCCACAAAGGTGCTTGACACCCATTGTCCCAGCAGACAGTGAGGGGGAGGTGGGAGGCAGGGTGGTGACAGCATTTGCCTTGGACTGGTCCCAAAGGCTCCATCATCCCTCTCTGGTTGTTTTTAATGCTTAATTGCTTCTGGTTTTAATCCTCCTTTCCCTGAAGCCACATTTGGTGGGTAATCGATTTGGAAAACCACAAGTGAACTGCACTCAAGAAAGTCACATCCCTGTGGTTCCCCCTTGAAAGGAAAAACATTCAATAAGCACTTACCAGAGTGTCATTAATAGTAAGAAATACCATCAGAACCACCCAGTGAGGTAGGTTTTATTTCCACTTTACAGAGGAAATAAGGACACCGATTACTTCTTAACCATTCACTACATGCTCAGCACTGCGCTCAGCACTTGCCGTGGAATATTGCAGTTATTTTATGCAACAATCCTACAAGATACAGGACTGTCATTAACCTTATTTTATATGTTAGAAAACAGAAACTTTTGAGACCCCATTATTTTTGCTTCTGGTCACAGAGCTTGTGTCAGAGACTCACTAGGAACCTAGATCTGATGATTCCAGAGTGCAGCCCCCTAATTGCTGGGCTGTGTTGCTTTGTTCATTCATTCATTGTTTCATTCTTTCATCTATCAATCAAATAGTTATCGAGGGTTGACCATGGGCAGGACTTTGGGAAAGATGCTAATAAAGTGAGTAAAAAACACACACATCCCCTGTCCTTCTGTTTGGCAGAGAAAACAAACATTAAGTAAACTACATGTTAATTAATTTAAATCTGCAATTGTAGCCTGGGCTGCAGAGCCTGAGAGTATATGAGAGGGGAAGCTGACTTGGTCACGGAAGTAGGACAACTTCCCTAGAAAAGTGTTGACTGAGGGCTGGGGCTGGGGCTCAGTGGTAGCACACTTGCCTGGCATGTGTGAGGCACTGGGTTCGATTCTCAGCACCACAGAAATAATTTTTTTTAAATAAAGGTCTATCAACAACTAAAAAAAATATGTTAAAAAAATTGTTGACTGAACTCAAATCCGAAAGATGTGGGGATGTAAGTGAAAGGGCAGAGAAGCATGTTCAAGGCGGAGGAAACAGCATAGGCAGAAGCCCTCGCAGGGAAGGAAGATAACAGAGCTAAGGGTGTAGGTTCTGTGTGTCCGGGAGGATGGGGAAGGGGTAGAGATTAAGAAATGGGCTGTGGCCAACCACACAGGCCTTGCAGTGTGCATTAGAAAGTTTCATCTTTATTCTAAGAGACAAAGTCTTGAGGAGTTTTAAGTAGGATGTGACATGATCAGATATGTCAGATTTTTCATTTTTCAGAGATTATTCAGGTGAAAAGGCATTTTGGAAAACAAATTAGAGGAGTAAGAGTGGATGAGGAGAGACCTGGTAAATAGGATGGGGTTGGACAAGGCTGGGCAGGGTATAGGTAGAGAAAATTGGTGGAATTGAGAAATAAGTAAGAAGTACAATGGGCAGGGCTCGTGATGGAGCCACATAGATGCAGGGGTGAGATGAATTTCTTTGACAGAAAATTATATGGGTTTTTTCCTACACTAACAACTAATCAATTTTCTGACACCAAGGGGGTGCCCTTCAATTGAGTTTGATCCTGGAGTATCCAACTCCACAGGCTGAAGAGCTGAGTTCCACAAACCCTGACTTCAGTCACAAGTCCTGGGTGCCTAGGCCACCCCTGTCTGACTTGACTATCAGTTTGGCAGTTCTCATGATCACCACCCACCCAGCCCAGTTCAGTTTTTCTCTGTGACTCATTGAACTCAGAAAATCCTTGACTTACTCTTAGTGGGGTTTATTATAAAGGACACAACTCAGGAAAAGCCAAATGGAAACGAATCACAGGGCAGGGTAAGGAGGGCAAGGGGCTTCCCTACCTTCTCCCTGGCACTACCTTCCTGGCTTCTTCACCAACCCAGAAGCTCTTTAAATCCATTGTATAGGGGATTTGATGCATGTTTTATTAAATAGGCATGATTGTTCAATCATTGTTGATGGGGATTGAACCCAACCTGCAGCCCCTCTCCAGATGTCACCTAAGCATGCCAGGGTCTTTCTGGTGACCAGCCCTCTTCCTGACTCTCTTGGCCACTGCCCCGGCTCACCCCTGGCTGGGAGTTATCTCATTAGCAGAAGATGTACTCTTATCACTCAGGAAACTATAGTGGGTTTAGGAGCTCAGTGCCAACTCTGTCCCAAGATCAAATCTTTTTTTCACTGTAGGGGGGTGAAGGAGAAGTTGGGGGGATTTGAAGACCAGTGTCTTGCCTCAGGCTCAGTCCCAGGCCAGCACCCCACTTCCCCCCTACCCCAGCACCTATCTGGCCCTAGGGTTCCTAGATGAGACAGGGGGTTTCTTCCTCTTTTCTCTTCTCCTTTTAGGAGATTGTGACTGCTCTAAGCTGTGGCAAGAACATTGTGCCCGTCATTGATGGCTTTGAGTGGCCTGAGCCCCAGGCTCTGCCCGAGGACATGCAGGCTGTGCTTACCTTCAACGGCATCAAGTGAGCCCCAGGGAATGAAAGCCAAGGGGAGTGGGTACACATCACCCCTACAGGCAGCATGAGGATAAAGCAAACAGGCCCCTGGCCAGCAGCTCCATCTGTGCAGCCATCTGATCCCTTGGTCCTTGTGCCCACAGGTGGTCCCATGAGTACCAGGAGGCCACCATTGAGAAGATCATCCGCTTCCTGCAGGGCCGCTCCTCCCGGGACTCATCTGCAGGCTCTGACACCAGTTTGGAGGGTGCTGCACCCATGGGCCCACCTTAACCAGTTTCCAGTTCCCAGTCCCTGCTGTGTCTCCCATTTCCATGGTCCTCCCTGAAGGAACAGCTCTTTAAACAGAGTCAGCCTAGGCTCTTCTCAGGAAATGGCTCTCCCTGTCCCCTACCCTCATGGCCCACTTCAACATCCCCTTCCTCAGTATGTGGAAAGGGAAGGAAGCTGGGCTTGGGGGTGGGGGTTCCTCCTCCCTCAGGCCCTGCCATCAGGTTCTCTGTCCCCCATCCTCAGAGTTGTGTCCCTGCCAAGTTCTGGAAACGCAGGAGACTGAGGGGAGGGTCACGGCATATTCTCTCATACGCCGCCCTGAGAGCAGCCGGCTTGAGTAGGCAGCCTCTGACAGAAATCAGGGCCATGTGCAGGCCCTGGGCAAGGGCCTGCACCTGGGAGGCAGCCATGGACAGGCCCCTCAATGGCTGTTCGTGGGCCCTGATGCCACTTCCTACTGTCTCGTGGCCTTGCCCTATAACCACTCAGTGCCCCTCCCAGCCTTCCTCACAGCTGGGGTCAAGGTTGAGCTGAGCCGTCCCACAGGCTGTATATGCCTCGGTTACTTTGCTGTGCTTGTGCATGGGAGCTTCCTACCAGGGCCCAGTTCTGGGCAGGGAGGCCATGTCTCAAAGCCCACCTACCCCAGGCCTTGGTGCTCTGCCTAAGATGCCTGACCACCCAGGCCCTATTGGCTTCCCCAGCTCCTCACCCACCCAGGGCTTCCCACCCACTTGCTCAGGGAAGAGGGGGACCAGGCACCCCCAACCCCCAGCAGCCCCAGTAGCCTGGACAGCACCTGCAGCTCTGTGGAAAGAAGCAAGATCCTGAAGGGCAAGGGTGATGACCTAGCGGTTTCTCACAATGTCAAGTGCATTCAGGAATCTTGTTAAAAATTCAATTCAAGAGACCTGAGGCAGGGCCTGAGAGTATGCATTTCCCACAAATCCCTGGGCAAACCGATGCAGGTGGTCAAGGGACCACACTAAGCAGAAAGTCCTTCACAAATCTTTTGTCATTTCCCAAACATTCCACTCCTGGTTTCTGTAATCATCACAGCAACCCTGTCCAGTACTGTCCCCCTGTACTAGAAAGTAAGGAAGAAAGACCGAGTGATAAATCCCATTTTTCAAATCATTATCGGTAGCCCCAGGATTCACAGCCAGGTATCCCAGCACCCAGGTCACTGCAGATGGACTGGGCTGATGATTCCTGAGAATCGTCTTGGCGGATGGACCTCTGCAGGGCTGTGGCTTCTCCCATGCTTCAGAGAATCTAGCAGTGGGGGATAGGTTTTAGCCAAAAGGCTGACCCAGGGGTCATACAGAAATAGCTAGGGAGAAATGTCCCTGTGGCCCTCCCTCCACTAGAGTAGGAGGGCAAGAAATGTCCTCCCTCCAATAACCCACGCTCCAGCTAGTGGGGTCGGCTGTTACCTGCCCTGTACTTCCTTCTGGGGGCAGTGGGTTCACACCTCAGGGCTGGCTCAGCTCCTAGACCCCAGCCCTGCAGAGCTGGCCAGGTTTCTCCTTGCTTTTGGACCACATCATCAGGAAGCCAGAGATCTCATTGCAGGCTTGGGACTCCTTCCTTCCACTCTCCACCCTCCCCTTGTCTTAAGTGGATCCTGGCCCAATTCTGGCTTTGACCATACACCATCCTCTCCCAGACACTCAGCCCAAGTGCATGCTACTTCAAGCCCAGGATTCTGTCCTGGATGTGACAGACGAAGCAGACTGGATAGTTGCCCTCACACAGTAGTCACTAATACAGCGTCTGCATACTCCCAGGGGGATCTTTCTGCCTTTTTGTCCCTATGGGTAGTACTCAGAGAAGTTCCTGGTTTTTCTTCAAGCACACGCTCCACCACTGTCCACCTCCACTGTCCAGCCTTCTGCCCCGTCCTCTGTCTCTCCAGGCAATCAGGAGCCTATTTCTGGCTCCAGACAGAGCAACTGAACTGAGGAGCCTGTCCCAGCCAGGCCAGTATGTTCAGGGGTGGTGGCCGCCTCTGCCATGTCAAACACTGCTCAGATTGCAGCTAGGGCAAACAGCTGGGCCCTTAACCTCCACCTTAGAGCTCATCCTGAGATAGGGCTCAGAAGTAGCACCCCTCCCACAGCCTGCTCTGACTCAGGTCTGCAGAGTCAAGGTTTTTTGCTTGTCTGGGCTATAGACATTGCCCCCAGATTAAGGCTGAGTTAACAAGGTCCCTACCCCACCTCACCTGTCCCTCTAAGAGCTGCTCAGGGACATTCAGAAATCAAAAGTCCAGCCACAATTCATTCATCCTTCTCTTTAGCCTATGAAGATAGGCATCTCATCCTAGAATGTGTCCTGGAAGGTCCATCCAGGTGTGGTTCCCACATTCAGACTATTTGGGGGCATTGCTGATCTAGCCTTTCCTAGAGGAGACTGCTCAAGTCACACAGCTATCCAGAGTAGAACCCGGCCTCAGGCCAGCTCAGCCCCATGGTGCGGGGGGTCAGGGAGGCAGAAGTCTGGCAACAAGGGCCCAGGCTGCAGGGGCTCTAGCCAGCCCTGAACTACCCATTTCACCTGCATGATTTTTCAGCCAGCAAACTGGCTAACAGGGCAGATGAGAAAGTAGGGAAAAATGGCAGCAGGCCAAGCCCCCAAGGGCAGTTCTGGTTTGAAGACTGAAGTAGCCCCTGATTTGGGTCTGCTAGGGGACTTATGGGTCCTCATCAAAGCCAGTGCTTTAATATTAAATAAGATTCTACCTTTCAACTTCAGGTCCAGACCTTCCTACCTCCCTAGAAATGGGTCCCTCATTCTCTGGGAAGCTCTGGTCCATGAATCATATGGAAAATCAGGTTCAGCTCCCAGTAGACCTACAGAGACACAGGGATGGGCTTGGCACATGACTGCTGAAGCGCTCAGCAACGACAGGTGTCAGAGGGCTGTGTCAACGAAAACTGATCCTGCCTGGTGTAGCCAGGAAGATCAGCGTAGGTGCTTCTGGAAAGTGCATCTCACTGACCCTCAGGAAGAGGCAGCCAGAGCCCTGCCCAAGGTTTCCTGCTGGCCTCTTCCAAGTCTTGCAGCTTATCACCTGACAGCTCAGGAGCCGGATAGCCACACCCAGGACCAACCCCACAGGTAGCCCAGGGGCTCCCTACCCAGCCCAGCAGCAGCAGATGGCTGGAGTCTGACCTATGGTAAGCAGACCAGGAAAACAGAGGGCCCCAAATACAATGCCTTAGAGACCAGAAGATTCCTTTTGGTTTGATTCAATTAATTTATTGTGATTGGCATAGTTAAGCCCAGGGGTGCAAAGGTTGTAGTCAAGGATTGAGTCCATCCACAGTGACAGTAGCATTCTCTCTCTAGGGGAGCCATGCTCTCCCAACCCCTCCCGCACCGCCCCAAGGCTGGCACTAATAGATAATATAGTCATCATTAAGGAATGATTGGCAGCTGCTGTACACATCAGGAACACACACTCCATTGGTCCCTGAGGTCTCATTCTACTCAGGATTCCTCCCCTAAAGGGTTCCAAGTGATGGATGGCATAAAAAGTAATCAGACCCCTGCTGCCTGCCCTGGAGTGGGCCTGTCAGATTGGGATTCTAAATTCTAGACAGAGGCTGGCTCAGTTCTGGACCAGGTGGTACCTTGAATGAGCTTGACCACCTTGTCTAAGAAGTGCTGCCCTCTGAGGGGAGCTGTAGCTCAGCTGTGGGCTGGCTCCTAGATGCAGACTCGCAGTCAGTGTGTTCATTCTGCTCCTCTTGCCCTCTGTCCTTTGGCACAGGCAGATCAGGGGTTCTAGGAAATGTTCTGGAATTCAGAGTGAGGATTAGCCCTTTCCAGCACCCTGTAAAAGAACAGAGAGAGGGTTCCGATTTGACAAGAATCCTCGACTCCTGTCTGGAAAAGTGACACAGGATTCACTCAGGTGGGCTGTCCTAGTGTCCTCTCCTGAATTCCTCCCTCCCCAAGCTGTAAGGTAAAGGACACTATCCAGTGATAGATGTTTCTGGAAAATAACTCTTAAGTCAGCAGTGGCTCCAGGTGCAGTAGTGCAGGCCTAGAATGTCAGCTACTTGTGAGGCTAGTGCAGGAGGACTGCTTGGGCAGTTTAATGAGACCCTGTCTCATAAAAATAAAAAGGGGGCTGGGGTTGTGGCTCAGTGGTATAGAGCACTTGTCTAGCATGTGTGAGGCCCTGGGTTCGATTCTCAGCACCACATATAAATAAAATAAAGGTCCATTGACAACTAAAAAAAAATAAAATAAAAATAAAAGGGACAGAGGTGTAGCTCAGTGGTAGTACACTCCAGGTTCAATCCCCAGTGCCAACAATAAAAGAGACAAAGGGGGAAGAAGTCAGTGAGTTGGGCTTCCCTGTGGCCCAGCCACCAGGACAGAGGAAGCTTTGTGGAGTCCCTTTAACACAGTTCTGCTGCCCATAGTTCCACCTGTAAAATGGGAATGGAAGGAAGTGAGGGGACCTGGGGAGGTAACAGCTTGGCCACAAATTAGCCTGATCCTTCCCTACCTGCCCCTCTGCCTGGCCCTTGGAGAATGGCTCCTGGAGGATTAGGCAGCCATCTGCAAGGGGGCAATCAGCCACGAGGGGACACCCACAGGGGAAGAGGTAGAAATGATGCTGCCATTTCCAGGTAGGAGTGGGAGGAAGAGGAAACCTTTTAAGATAAAGGGCTCCATTATGAACATGGGTTTAGGGCCTACATTACCCGATCAAAATGGCTGGGATGAAGAGGAGACCAGCTCCCAGGAGGAAGGGGAAGCCCTTCATGAAGTTCAGAGTGGCTGGATAGAGTGAGTTGAAGATCCCGGAGGCTGCCAGCATGGCCAAGCTGCTCACACAGGCCATAGCGGAAAAGAGAGCACCTGCAAAGAAATAAATGCCACCCTCTGAGGGCTGGGGTGAAGCTCAGCAGTGGAGCACTTGCCTATCATGTGCAAGGCCCTGGGTTCAACCTCTAAAACAGGAAGGAAAAAGAAAGAAGAAAAAAAAAAAAAGCCAAGTTCCAGAGTTCAAAAGATTCAGGGTAAAATCCTGGTACCACCATACCACTTCACAGCTGTGAGACCCAGGGCGAGTCACTTAACCTCTCCCTCACCTGTAAATCCTACCACATCATGATAAAGATTCAGTAATGTCATGCATGGAAAGCATCCCCCACAAAAGGGCGACTACATTAGTGACTGCTTTTAAATCCACAATAAAAGTACATGTGATAGCTTCTAATGAAAGCCTGATGGAAATGGTGTTTGGGGGAGGGGGTTATCCTCTTTGGAATCACCTCCTGTTTGGCATTAACTGCTGATATGATTCCCAGTTCCAATACTCAGTGGCTTATCCTGATGGGTTTCTGTTCCCCCTCCTGTGAAATAAGCCTAACAACTATTTCAAAGTTTGTCAGCAACTTAAAGCTCACACATAAAGCACGTATCCCAGCGTGCCTGCTGGAGGTAGCTAGTAAATAAAGGCTGTTTTCTCCTTTTCCCCTTGACATGTCTGGGCTCAGTGAAAAGTGTTGGGAAGAAAGCTTACTGAGTGAGTGAATGAAGGCAGCTGGGTTCTGGAGACACCTGAGCCCATAGTGGGTTGTGTAAGCCACCAGGTGTCCATCAACAGATCCAGGGCAGATGTTTCCAGACTAAAGTATAAGGACCCAGAGGTCGAAGGAGCTGTCTTACAGCTATGCCACATAAGCAGTTTGCACACATAAGCAATGATCGAAGAGAAATTAAGATTAAACTGTCAGCCTGTCAGAGCTGAAGGGCCTGCAGATGTCACCAAGAGCAAACCACTCGTTACACAGAAGGAAACTGAGGCCCATGACAGAGCCAGGGCTGAACCCCAGCTCCCAAGAACCACTGCTGTTAAAACAGACCTCTGTGTGCATCCCAGCTCCACCATTTACTGAGTGACCTTGATTGAACCAAGTTAACCCTCTGGGGCTGTTTCTTCACCTGACAATTGGGAACAATGAAACCAAGGTTACAAGTTTGCTCATTTCCTCTGGGTTTGTACACTCTGACCCCAAGGAATCAGGAAACTCCAAAATCATCATGGATGGAAGAACTGAGGTCTGCAAAGAGTAAATCTTCCACGCCAGTTATCAAGTGCTGCTGAATGC